GTAAATAGAAGTTGAATAAACATGCGAGAGCCACCGGGGAACTGGGGACTTAGGCTCTGGGCATTTAATGTCACTCTTCTTTTAAATCATATTAAAATGGAATCAAGTAATTAACATTAATAAATAAATCAATATTGTGCAATAAATGAGATATACAATCTACATTAATATAAAGGTTTTGCTCTCAGAGCCCCATATTTTTCCGAACGAGGGAAGGAAAAAAAAAAAAACCAACCAATGGGTCCATGCAGATGTAAATTACTGTTTGTAATAAAGCATAGGTGGACATTACAGTTTTCTCCTTTAGCAAATGTCAGGGCTAAAAACTTGAGGTTACCAGACGTGGCAGCAGGGCTTAATTTTCACTGCCTTATCTCCCTAAACCTTATTACTGGTGATATGATTATTTTTTCTCTCGGCTGTTCTGAGGATTCTCACAGCTGCAATTTGCTGTGTTTGTGTCTCATTATGGGAGGGGGATGGGAGGTACGAAAGAGGCTAGATATTTTGCAGATGCCTTCAGTAACAAAGGTATTGCTGCAAATATCTTATTTTAAAAACAGGCTGGAACCCAGGAAGCTTTTAGTAAAATTCCTTTCATTTACTCGATTTCATCATTTTATTTAGGGTGTCTTTAAAAGAGTGGTTTGTATATTTTATGCCACGCTGTTATATTGCAGAGAGATTGAAGAGTAGTTTTTATTTAAGAAAATAAAAATTGGCTACGATATCGTGTCCTTTCTTCTTTTAATAATGCAACTGTCACGCTGCCCAGATTTCTATGTGCCATATTTTCATAGAAAGAGTCGGCGTCTGGACTGAGGGCTCAGATTCCCTGGATTATTTTGACTGAGGGCGGGGGAAGGGGGGGTGGGGGATCATACTGACGACATTATGACTTTTCCTAAATATGAAAGCTTATAAAATAAACAAAATAGCACGCTGGCCGTTTCTTCAAAGGTGTTATTTCTGAGCGTGGGGATCGCACAGTAGCACTGACTGTACTCCCAGCTTCGCCCGAAGCCTCACCCCTTCCTCTATTGTATTTCTATATTTCTGTGCACACAGAAGTGCATATCTGGAATGATGAGATTTTAGCGTGTGGTTTGGTCACCGATGCAGCCCTCAGCCTCGGTATTTGGGCTGCACATTTATCTTTCGGCAGATTCCTGCCGCATTTGTAGTTTAATCAGAAAATAAGCAAATGCCCTTTTTGTTCTCCTTAAAGGACAAGCCCAAAGACATCTGGAAATCGCTCACAGCCTTTTCTGTCTAAAGGAATAAAACAGAGAAATGGGTAAAAAAAAAAAAAAAAAAAAAAAAAAAAAAAAGAGATTATGGACTCGCACAGAACCATCACATTTACACGATGATTCAAAAAAGAATAAACCAGCATTTCCATATTTCGGTATATTTTTTTTTTTTTAATTACCAACACATCCTGGCTCCCATCACTCGTTCACGTTCGCTGAGATCGGCCTCACTGTAATTTGCGAGGGGTTAAAGCACCTCGTACGAAGCCTAATGGGTTTGGGGTTGGTGTGAGCTCTCACAAGGAGCACTCTCATGCCAAGGAAAACAAACACACACAAAAACTTCGCTAAACGTTTCCCTCTCGAAATGGGTATCTCCACCGAGAGACCAAGGGATTTTCCTTCGGGCTCCAGCCGCGCCTGCAAGGGCTACCTTTGGCGTCAGGGATCCCAAGGATTTCAGATTGTACAATGCCATTTTATTACCGACGGAAAGGCTATTTCTAGGAAAGTGTTAACAATGAACTTCTAAAAAAAAAAAAAAAACCCAAAAAAAAAAAAACAAAACAGAATCAAAACAACCCAACCCCAACAGCCTAGTAGACAAAGTGCCAACAAATGCTTTCACGAGAGACGGGGCTTTTAAAAATGCGGAATATGGCTGAGCCAACGTGAAATAGATTTCGATGAATTCTGCAAATAAGCAGAAAGCAGCGAAGCCATTTCTTTCCTCAGATTCTGACCAAAAGTGAGCACTGGAGGGAAAAAATAAAACAGAAAACCAGAAAAACGGAACATGCTCGGTCACTGGCGAGCGTCCAGGAAATTCATAAGCTTCACTTTAATTTTCTAATCTCTAGTTTCATTTTAATAGATCTCCATAGTACTTTTAGGGAGAGGAATTTCATTCAGCAATGCCTTGGCAAGGTGATGTTCGGATATTAAAAATATCTTCTTTACGCTTTAGTCTCTCTTTCTTTCAAAAAATAAGCACTCTCAGGATCTAACGTTAATCTCACCTTTAAATAAAATACGGTTTTAAAATTACGCTTTCTGTACCTAGAGGTTTATTTAAGAAAAGCCTCGAATAAGAATCGAGATAAACTGTGGAAACGCATGGCTTTTATATTACTTTTGTTCCATCCGCGTTAAGTCTGTCCTTAAAGAAGCAAATAGATTTTCGTTCTAGGGAACGAACTCTGAATATGACCGGCTTGGTGTTTTTTATTTTTTTTTTTCCTTTCTCAAAATTATGGGATTTTTTTTTAAAGCTCGGATGCATTATAAAAGATTACGATTCCCCCCCCCCCCCCCAAAAAAAAAATCTTTTAAAGTGGCATATTTCTCCCGCACGTCACGGTTATGGGTTATTTGTTTAATAAATCTTTTTGATGCTTTATTTTCTCATTTGGAAGGCCCTGAAATCTTATCGTTACTTATATATTAGATATTTTATTAGCAGCGGAATGCTGATGAGGGGAAGCGGCCGGGCACGGGGCTGTCGCGCGTGGGCGCGCCCCCCTGTGGCCGCCGGCCGCCAGGCACGCGGGACCTGCCTCCTCTCCCGGGTCTGCCTCCTCAGCTCGGTTCGCTCCCGGTCATGGGTTTCTTCCTTTCTTTCCGAAGAGAAACTTAAAACTGCTATCAGGGAGCGTTTATGCAAGATTAATACTAGGGTGTTTCGCTTTCCGCGGTCCTCTTTTGCGGTGCCTGAGCATTTTAAAGGCGTATTAATCCGCTAAAATAGAGTGTTAAAGCACGGCAGGGAACAGAAAATCAAACGACTCGTTCTCGCCCTGTGGATTAAGGCTCGGGAGAGACGCGAGAATTTCGCGATAAGGTCAGGCGAAATGCTTTGAGAAATTCCCCGCGACTTCGCGCATTTCTAATTAATGGGCTTTGTGGGGAAACGCAGATCCGCAGAAAAGCTGCATAGAAATACCATCTTTCTCCCTAAATTACGAAACAAACATTTCCTACAGCCCACGCATATTTTTTTTGAGAGAAAAAACGCTTTTTTTTTTTTCCTTAAGAGCTAAAAAAAAAAAAAAAAAAAAAAAAAAAAAAAGAAAAAAACAACAACAAAAAAGGAGGTTTAGGACGAATTCCCGGGGCGCGGAAGAGAAAGGCGAGGGAAGCGGGGAGCCCGCCGTGCTCCGGTTGGCGGGGACCGGAGCGGGGCATGCTCCCCGCACGCCGCGGAGAGGCTCACCTCGACCCAGCTGGGATTTTCTTTGCGTTATGATGCATTTGATAATATGGCCAGCTATGCGGTAATAAGTGTGTGTGTGGTTGTGCGTGTGTGTGTGTGTGAGAGAGAGAGGGAGGGAGACGGAGACTGAGAGAGAGAGAGAGAGAGAGTGGGTGGTGGTTGAAAATAACAGAAGAACCTTAAGGCGCCTAATTATTCAGAAAGGTTAAAGGTGATGACCTTGACATTTTGGAAGTTCAAAGGCATACACTTATGTTTTTCTTGCTAAAGGGTTTTAAAAAAATTTTTTTAGTCATGCCTCCCTCCGCTTCCATTTCTTGATTTTTTGAATTCTCGGGCTTTTCCTGACTTATTTGGGCACTTTTGCCTTCCCTGCGTGCGAGCGTAGCGAGAGCCGCTTCGTCCTATTCAAAAAAGGCAAATTCTTTTCTCACTCCTCGCCTTTATTGCACACTGCGGAAATCTCTTTTTCACCCACCAGAAGGTGTATAATATAACCCAATTAAGCTGTTTAGAACCTCGGGTTTTATGGTGTTGTCTAGACAGTTCAAGGTTTTGTAAACAGCCCAGCCAGGTCACGCAAGATAAAGCGGCGCGGAGCGGCGCGGAGCTCCGCCGGATGCCGGCCCCGCGCAGGGCCCGCGGCCGCCGCCGGGGCTCCGCGCTGCGCTGCCGGCCGAGCGCCGCGCCCCGCTCGCCTGCCGAGGGACGATATTTAAGAGATCCACCCCTCTGCCTCCAAAGTTTTTTTCCTTTTCGTTTTTTTTTTTTTTTTTTTTTTTTTTAGCCCCCCCAACCCCCCCCCCCCCCCCCGACTAGTGCCAATTGTTTATAGCTCCCTCTTGTCTGACTCGCTCCGAGCCCTCGCTCTTTCTGCCTTGCTCTTCACTAACAAGTAAACAATCATTGGCGCTGGGAACTCTGGCTTACTGGGAGCCTGATCAGTTTTAAAAAAAGCCTTTTTCGTTGTTTATAGAAATTGTAGCACCATCAGAAGTGATGGTCTGCAGACAGCCATGTTGGCTCTGCCTCACAGCGAACAAGGAAGGTTATGCATACCTACAAAGGGACAGTTAGACATCTAAACTAGTATTTGTTTAAAATGCATTTTAAATAACCCGACTAGGCTTCCTCCCGTTATTATTTAACTGAACTTGGCTCTAGCCCGGGAAACGCTAGGATCCTTCGGAGATGCAAATCCATACAGTGCACGGAAGTTATAACCTTAACTTTACTAGAAACCATTTATTCACATGAAAAAGACAGTGGCCCATGCTTTTGGATGACAATAGAAACATATATATATATATTTTATATATAGCGAACGTACATTTACCATCTCTTAAATAAACCGCATTCACTTAAAGAGGAAAGTGTTACCCTAGCTCAAAAGCAACAGAGCCCCCCCGCACTCAATGAATTGTAAGCAAAAACTACCAGACACACTGCAGGTCCATTGCTGGTACTGTGGGAGAGGAAAAAAAAGCACCTTTGGCGAGAAACACTTGAGAGTGGACAGTTGGATTTACCCTAGTTTCCCCTTATCAGGAATCTGCTCCGCCAAGCCCCGAAATCTCCAGTGGCCATTCAGTGTGTGGAGTTGCACATGAAAATGAAACTTTCAGTTCCGCAGGGTGGATGTGTCATGTAAACCAATATACTTTTCATTCAGATGGCAGGTCAGAGAGACCGAGATACTTTTTGTTTTTCTCCTTTCTTCCTTCTCTCTTGCTCTCTCTCTCTCTCTTTTATTTTTTTTTCCTTTTTTTTTTTTTTTTTTTTTTTTTTTTTTCAAAACAAGGGATTCCCAGTGAAGTATTGGAGTCGATCTCTGTTCAGTTTCTTTTCTTTCATCCTTCGATTCTGGAACCAGATTTTAACTTGCCGGTCAGTGAGGTTAAGCATTCTGGACAACTGCAGTCTTTTCTCTTTGTTTATGTACACGTTGAAGAAAAACTCCCGTTCCAGTTCTCTTATCTGATATTTGGTATAGGGACACCTCTTTTTCCTTGATCGCTGGGGAATTGCTGAAATTAAAGAGAGAATAAACTGATTTATGCCGCTGCTACGAACATGCTCAGCTAGGAAGAGATCAGAGACTTTGACAATATCCCATTGCCTGGAAAGCAGCCCTCTAGCAGTTCAAAAAAATATTCCTGGGGCTTTTACTCTCTGGGTGACTTAGCAAAAAAGCGAATATTTCCCAACTTCTCCTTAAAAGAGAGCACTTCGAGCAATACAGAGAGATATTTAAATGGGCTGGAAAAATTCCAAGTTTCTCAAACTCCTCTCACCCACACCCCCCCCCCCGCCCCAAACAAACGAAGATCTTAAGCTCTAAACCGAAGGCAGCTCTGAGCACTACCTGTGAAATCTCCCCGTCTCCCCCCCGCCAAATCAACAATTTAATAACAATTAATATCCTCTTCCAAGAATACCTTAAGCCCACCTAAATTGGTTTCCTATCGTAAACACGCTTTACAACGGTAAAGGAAATCTTATAGGATATATAAAATCCTTTGGATGCTTATAAAATTGCACATAAAATGCGGCTTGACAAAGTGTTGGCCTTGTACTCTTGCCCCCAATTTACTACTGATACCTACCTGAACTGTTGCTCTTCTCTGCAACAGCCTCACCAGAAGGGGAATCGGCGCTGTTTGCTGGTGTCACTTTCTTCTCTTGGCTGGAAGGTGTTTTACTGCAAGTGCTGTTCTGGGCTTTCAAGTCGCTCTTGTCCGCGTCCCCCTCGCCCTCGGAGTGCTGCTGGTACGGGGGTCCGGGGGCTGTCTCGTAAAACTGGTCGAAGCCTTGCGGCAGGATGCCGTTCCTCCCCACCGAGCTGTAGAAGTTGGAGGCGGCGGGAGACGGTCCGTGGTGGCCGCAGACAGGGTCCGTTTTGAATAACATTTCCGTCCTCCTGTTCGCAGGCTGCAGAAAGTCTCTGTGCATCACCTCTTCAGCTGAGTAATAAGGAGCATAACTGCCCCTATACTGCCATTTGCTGCGCTCTAATCCGTATTCCCTGAATGCTACTTCACGCACAGGTTGGACATGAGGTAAATTAGAAGAATAAGGAAAAGTCATTTGACAGGACGACGACTGCGACAAAAAAGAGGGTTTCGTCGAGAAATCTGAGGGTGAGACGTAATAAGCGCACCCTGGCAGATACATATTGGATGTGCCGTGACTGCAATCGTCAAACTCAGTCATGTCTTCCTTTTTGCGATTGCAAGCAACCAGGAGGCTTCAATGCATTGAACAAGATCCATCTATTGCACAAGAGGGTTTGGACAGGATCAACTAAGAAAAAATCCCCACCGTGTGCTGACGTGCAATTCATCTTGATTGATTCTAGTGGTAATTATGTCACGTGACGCGATGTAGAAATGTCCTTATATCTATATCAGCCCCTCGGAAAGGCTCCTAAGATCTCTCCAAAGAGCCCTCCCAGCACGGAGAGGCGAGCGCAGCGTTTCTACAAACACAGCCGGTTTTTTCCCCTCATCCTTTCCCCGGGCGGTGAGGCACACGTAGGTGGTGCGGCTGTAATCACCTGGGGCCGCGCCGCCCGGGCGGGCGCCTGCCCACCGCCGCAGCCCGGCGCGGAGCCCCGCGGCGCGCAGCCCCCGCCCGCATCGCCGCCCAGCTCTCCCGGCCTCCGCGGGCAGCCGGGGGGGGGGACACACGGCCGCCGTCGGGGCAGGGTCGCCCTCGGAGAGCGGGGTGCGGGCTCCCGGCCGGGCACCCTCGGCTCGGGAACGTGGTCGCTCCTCGTTAGAGGCGGCGATGCTCGCCGGCCGCCGTTCACGCAGATGATGCGCGGGTGACGGCTCGCCCGGGAAAGCCAAGTCCCAGTCACACGCCCGAGGGTACGAGTGGCTCTGCCCGCCCGGCTCCAGCAATCCACAGTTGGCATCCAAACCGGCCACGGAATTCAAAGCCTGAGTCCCGATCACCTCGCTTTCCCTCGCTATGCAAGCCCCGACACTGCGCGCTTGTGTCAGGGCGCCAGAGACAAACTGAAATGAGAAATAAGCCAACTGAGCATCTCTCGGTAGCCGGTTTTAAGAAAGGGAGACACTTTCGGGCTGTTCTGGAAAGCAAAGGGCTAGGGCAGGAAGAGAGGTCCACCAAGCACGGTTTCCTTGGGAAGCGGAGCAGCGCACAAAGTGACCTCTGTTCCCGTGCCTCCAACTCCCACCAAAATGTTCATTTTCATTGGAAGGGAAAAGCAGGCTTGGGAGCGGGCGACACGCACAACACCCGCCAGCCCCGCGGCCGCCCTGCCTTCGAGGGCTCCTTTTTGCCAATTTTCCTGTTCTCCTTGAAATATGATTTTACATAGACGAGCACAAGCCGAGTCAAAAAGGCTGAAAAGAGAGGAGAACAAGTAATACGCGCCAGCAATAGCCCTATGCTCGAGCAATTCCTCATTCCAGAAACGTTTGCCAGCTCTCTATGGGAATGCCTTTTTTTCCGCCACTGTACAGCATAGCCAGAGTAGCCCCGCCACATGCCGCTCTCCAATTAAACTCGAAATCTGGGGGAGCTCGCCATGCCGAGCAGGGTCGCCCCCTGCCACCCAGGCAACCCCCGGGCGCTCTGGCCCGGCGGCAGGCCCCAAGACACCTCCAAAAAGGCAGCCTCCAAATCCCACAGCAAGCAGAGAGCCCGGCAGGTAGGGAACCGGCCCCAAAGCGCCGCAGGCAAGTAGGGGGGAAGGCCCGGGGGAGCCCCAGCTCTGCGAAGCGGCGGTGCCCGCGGAGGGCTCGCCCAGGCGCAGGCTGCGCGCCCCGCGGCCCCGCCGCCACAGGCGCCTCCTGCGCGCCCCCGGCTCCGCGTTGCGGAGAGGAGCCGGGGGCGGGAGCCCCGCAGCCCGGGCTGCGCCCCGCACCCTGTCCCCCGCCCCGCCGCCGCCGGCACGGCCCCTCCTGCGGCCCCCAGCCCCCCAGGGCAGGCGAGGGCTGCCCAAGGGGCTTCCACACCGCAGCCCAGCTTGCCCGTTCTAAGCAGTAAAACACCAAAGCCAGGCAGATAAGATGAAAAACATGATTTTTTTTTTTTCTTTTTTCCCTCCCTCCCCGCCCCCCCCCCCCCTTTCTTTCCTTTTTCTTTTCTTTGTACACTGTGGTTATATTTTTGCCTTGATGCCTCCCTCGCAAACCACCTCAAACACCACACATTGCTCTCAGCAGATAGCCTCGCAAGGTATCACTAGAAATCAAGGCACAAAACCACCATTCCCTCCTTCTACCGGTAACTTTCAAGCCCTCTCGATTCTGCTGCAACACATGAACAACCTCCTAAAAATGATGCCTGCGCAGTTAAAATGGCTCCTGTGTCACTTACCACCCTGAGCTCGCAGCAGAGCAGGGCAGGGATCCGTTTGGATTGTGCCCCCAGGTTTCTGATCGCCTATCTCATCAGGAGAGATGGCTCTGGGAATCTATGAAGCTTCATTTTCTTTACCATTCAAACAACTAATTACGCCTTAGCCAGAATCCTTCACCTTCCTTTCGATGCAGCAAGCTTAGCATCCATTAAATTTTGGCGCAGGAGCCAACCGGTTTCAACTAATTCAAGTTCAAAGACATGGCGACGATTTGTTAATACGAAAACAGCCCTTTTAGGAAACAGTCCCTTAAAAACGATCTAATGTGGGGAATGGGAGACCAATATCGCAGCAGAGACCCCGCTGGAACAAGGCAGAGCTGGGGGTCCCCGCCTGCCAGAGCATTTTTACCCTGGGGTCGGTTCCCAGCCCAGCTCTGAGCATTACATATCTCCCCGCTCCCCTTTTTTTTTCTTCCTTTTTTTTTTTTTTTTTTTTTTCCTTACACAGATTAAACAGCATCGAAACATAAATACACATCATGTACACAGTCAGGCGAATACTTTACCGTTAGGCGTCTTGAAACATCTGCAACCGTTGCCTGGAATTACCAAGTATTCAGGTCCAAGTGACATTTCCAAAAGCCCTCCGTGGAAATTAAGGCGACCTGCATAACATTCGGGTTTAAAAATATACCCAGTCCGGCTGGAGAAGATGCGGTATTTTTGTGCCACCCAAGATAAGACACTAACTTGACCTTAACTTTGTTATGGCGCCCCTAGTATCTGGAGAACGTGAACAGACACTGTCTGGCAGCTCTCGTAAAAACCGACTGGAGAAGAGATTCTGAGTCATTTCATTTATTGCCACTACAGTTCTGCAAGAAAGCTTTTCCTCCCTGCCAAACTTTAATTATTTATGCTCTTTTAGGAGGCACAAAGGCATCCAGAGCCATTCCCAACAAGCCGAGTTGCGTTTGCTGCCTTATCAAACGAGGAGGAATGGAGAACCCCCTCGGAAGGGCTTTATCACGTTTAGGCTGCGGTCGGAATGCGAAGATGTTTATGTTGGAGTAAATAAAGGGATGGACGGTCTCCTGCATCCCGCGGGGGGACGCGGGTGTGGGCGCAGCAAGCGGGTGCCCGCTGCTCCCCATCCCCCTCCCCCTACTCCGCACCGCATGCACCCACAAAGCCGGGGCAAGGGGCGAAACACAGCTGGAAGGACACCCGAAATAATCCAGCCGGAGAGAGGGCGTGGGTTACATCCACCTCACTCGGGTGCATCTCCTGCACGCCCACCCGGCGTGCCGCACACGCGTGTGCACACATGTGCCCACGGGGCGGCTCAGGCGGGTGTGCGCAGGCAGAGCCGCGCAGGCAGGGCGCGCCCCGCGCCTGCAGCTCTGCCCCACGCGTGTGTGCCTCCCCACACACCCGAACCGGCGCCGCTGTCGTCGCCCGCTGCTTCAGAGCAACGGCTGAAGCCTGAAGCGTGGGCACGCGTGAAATCATGCACCATTTTCTACCGCCTGTGTGTCTACGCAGGGTGTGAGCCCGCAAATACGTACGTGTGTGTGCACGCACACACGGTTACATACAACGGGCACTGGTGAAATAAGTGCATCTATATAGGTACCGGCACACACAGAGATAAACAACACATATACTTTCGCATTATGTCCCAATTTAGATCCTACCTCCTCTCTTTTTTCTCCTTCTTGGGCGATTTAGGCTAGAAGCTTTACAATAAGCCATCGTCGTGGATCAGACACGTTTAATAAATAACACATTGCCTTTCACATCTTTTCACCCGAGGTTCCTCTTCGGAGTTCACATCACCCATCTAATAAAGGAACTGGTTGTACTGGGGCGGGTTAGGACAGGGAAGGACGGCATAAAGGGTCCATTTCTCATGGACTGTATCCGGCTGAATAGTATTCCAGGAAAGAATAAGAAAAGGGGCTTTATCTGTTTTTTGCTTTTCTCCTGGCTTGCATCATTGGGGTTGCTTCTAGTTTTTTTAATTAGGGAAATGCTACTGAGTGAAGAGACTTTTATTGTCCGCAATGCGCCAGCTCCCAGCACAGAGACTGAATGCCTCGAAGATCTGGAGGGACCCAGGGGTGGTGCCTCTGGCTGTAGGTGGCTAGGTGTGCCTCCCTGGCCCCGGGGGGCTCCCACTCCGCGCGGCTTTGCCCCCACTTTTCCACTGGCAGTCACCCCGCCATGAGCGAGGTAGGTTTTTGTCTGCATTGGGCAATGCGGTAAGAGTGGCCGTCCTGGACGGCGAGAAATGCGCCTCCAAGTTGGGCTGGTTTTCCTTCTCCCTCCCGAAACACCAGCCGAGCATTACCTTTGGGGCTCTCTGGAAAGCCTTCGGGAAGATGGCTGCATTTCTGCCCTCCTAGAAATCCGACGTTTACCTCCAAAATCATCTGGACCACTGTGCCCTTGCGAGCAGTACTTGGAATCAAAGGAGTGGGTAGGAGCAAAGTTCAAATATGCCTCTTTATGAAATAATGAGTTTATTGCCTTCAGGAAGGCGATAGCCCCGTGTAAATAGGAATAGGTAGCTGCTTTGTGCCGTTCCTTGTGGTTGTTTAGCCTTGTTGCATACGCCCTGAACAACCATATCTGAGCCTACTGTATATACCAGAAAAAAACGCAGGCTCTGCCAACGTAATTATTGTTACTGTTGGGAGAGGCAACCCAAGGTTTTGCGTGTGGAAACGCCTCTTCATTAGAAACAGATTTAGGTGGAAATTGCAGCCAAAAGGAGTTTTAATCCGGACCTAAAATTCCCTGAGATTTTTTTTATTATTATTTTCTGAAATATCAGACCAAGGCAATATCCAGCATTTCCCCTGGCTCCGCAGCTCCGGCCAGCCTGGCCGCTCTGGTGCTGCAGAGGCTGGCGGCTCCCGGCAGAGAAAGCCTGTCAGCAACATGCGGGG